AAAACTATTTTTTTTTTCTCTCGTGGGTATTTTCAAAGATTCTTCAGAGACCCCCACTGGTGGTATTTGACTGTATAATAGGGTCAGGGGATGTGCATTTTCCTTGGATCCTCATTTTTAATAATTTCACTCCAGTCTTTCTTAGCTTCCCATTCCTCTTCTGGCAACTTTCTTAGAGGATTTCAACTGGCCTCAGGTTATCTTTCCTTCCTGCATCACTCACCTCTGGTCCATGGAAAATGCTCATATATTTTGTATGGACAATTTCCAAAAGTCAGGCCAATTCTAATGAAGCAATAACTCTTCTTTCCTCACTTATTCAAGTAGTCAACCAAATCATCTTATCCTCACAATCAGTCCCTGGATGGGAATCAAGTATGAGTATACTTGGCCCTACCAACTTCACCAAACATATAAAACTACTAAACAGAACTAATGAAAAGTACTTCTCAGATTCAGGAAACCCAACTAATATCAATCAGTAAAAGTAAAAAGAAATACACATCTAGATACTTCACAGTGAAACTGTTATCTCTTTCACATGTTTGTCCCTTTGTCTCAATATCCTATCTTCTATATAATTTCTTCAAATATAACTTTGAAATAATTTTCTTTCAATGTTGTTTAATGAAAAAAGTGTTTAAAGAATAAAATAAGAGTGAAAGGTCCTCCTCTGGAGCCAGAATGACTGAGTTAAATACTAAATTTTCTATTTACTAATCATACAATCTTGTGGTAAATACTCAGTTTTTCTGGTTTTGACTTTTCCCATTGTTTCTGGTGTCAGAAGCATTTTCCTTCTTTTTCTGCCAGCTCAGCTTTGCATAAATAGGTAGGATTACATTGATTGATTGATTAACCGATTGATTGATAGATTGAAAGACAGAATTAGAAATTGATATTTAACTTTAAGCAGTGGGAAGACCTAAAGTTATATAAGCAAATGAATAATATGATTAGAATTACATAGAAGAAACATTAATCTGCAAGCAATGGGTTGGCTGTATTGGCAAGTTGGACAGTATAGCTGGTGACCTCAATTAGGATTTAGTCTATGCTTAGGAATATTTAAAAATACAGACAAGAGGTATTAGAAACTTGCTGATTAGAAAGGATGGGATTGGAAACGGGATGAGTCATCTACAGAATGTTGTAAAAATAATTGCATATAAGGTGTGAGGGACCAAATATTATGATTTGGAACAAAAGAACCTAAGAAAGAAATGTGCTTAGTTGATCATACTATCCTTGAAGTCCCAAGATGATAGCTAGGATGGTGTATCCAGCATGGCATTATTTATGTAGATTTGTAGCTCAGAATCAGATAAAATACACATAGAAATAATAGCTGACTCTGCTAAGAAAGAGAGTGTCAAGAGAAAAAGCAGTGGACAAATAGTAAACACATATGCCAAGCAGCCTCCATTAGAAACCACCCTATCCATGATGCAAGCCCCCCAGCTCACATAAAAGGAACGAACTCCCCTCCCCTGTAGCCTCAGGGCAGTTGCTACCTCTGGGCCTGCCTGGTCTCCCACCTTCCGAGTATACTGTCCTTAATAAAACTGTTCTCTGCTTTCACTTTAGGCACTGATCTCTGTTTATTGCATTGGTGCCAAGAGCCGAGATGCAAGGCTTTTCATGCTGACAATGACACTTATGATGATACTGGCCCATCACTTGTATGTGCCCCTTCCAAGGCCATGGGAGGGTCCCTAGAAATAGCTTCATGTGGTCATATGGTTTTGTAAAATTTGTGAAACTAACACTTTTTTAAAATTTGTGCACCATTATTTATTTTTGTGCTTCAAGACACGTTTATTGGGGACACAACTCTGGGACAGGGATGATAGGAACTATACCAAAAATGGCAACATCAACAAGGCCCTTGAAGGGGCTAAAAGGGTACAATGTCCCCCCACCCTCACCCATTATATAAAAATAAACTCATTCCTAGGGACCAGCAAAGACTGGCAGAATGGCTCCTCAACAGGGACACCACCTCTGTCAGCCCTGGGACCCTGTTCTTTGATTCTCACCCCTGCCACTTTTTTTAAAAAATATATGTCATGTATCTTTTTTTTTAATTCAATTAGCCAACATATAGTACATACTTAGTTTCAGATGTGGTGTTGAATAATTTATCAGAAACTAACATTTTTTATTCTTTTCTTTAAAAAGAGACCCCCTCCCCAGAAAATATTTATCTGCTTACTTAGTTTGCATTCTCTTGAAAGCAGAACCTGAAACAAAGATGAAGGCAGGTCATTTATTTGGAAGACAACCCCAGGAAGCAGGAGAGAGGGAGCAGGAAAAGTTGGACAGAGAGGAAGGAAAAGCCTAAATATAAAGATGCATCATCAAGGTCGTGGCTGTAAATAATTGGGCTCGGTGCCACCAGGACTTGCAAGAAGCATAAAAATTATCTCCTAGAATTATCCACCTAAAAGCAAGAGGCCAGGGCATTTAGCCACCAGTTCCCATAACCCATTGGTAGATGACTGCCTGCAGAGGTTAATTCTTGCTGAATTTCTGGGCTGCTCCCTGAATTAAATAGCCAGTTCAGAGAATGCCCTGGGGAAAAATGCTGAAAGACATTATGCCCTTGAAGTGGGACACTGATAGCCAAGATGATTCTGAAGTTGCTCTGAACTATCAGAATGCACATTTGAGTCTGAGTTGTGCTGAGGGCACTGGACGCTTTTATGAGAGACATCTGCTTCAATCCTATGGGTCAAAGCACAAACTTTGGAATGCCCTTATTCAGGTTGCAAGAGAGGAGTAATAAGAAAAAACAGGAACACTTAAATAGTATAAAGATAAGAAAAGAACTAAATCAAAGCAATATCAGAGAAGCAAAGAAAAGAATGAATGTTAGAAGGAAGTCTGGCCAAATATTACATTTTCAGGGTGCTCAAGAATCATATGCTTAAAAACTGCTTTTGAATTGGGTTAATGAGAGAAGATAATTGAATTTACAGAAGAATTTCATTGAAAAAGTGGGTCAGAAAATCACATTAAGATCCATAATTACTTTCTTTTCCTGCATTTGTAATATAGCTGATCCTTTTCCTGAAAATCTTCCCACCTAAATACCCTTATGTTTCTGTAAGGATTAAATGAGTTAATATATGTAAAGTGCTTAGGACTATGCTGGCACATTGTGGGTACTCTGGAACAGTTTTCTATTATTATTTTTAGTATTTAGAAGATTGTAAAGACATTGTGAATAATGTAACAAGAAGTCAAGTAGAGATCAATTTAAAGATTGTTAAGAAAAGAGGTTCTCTTCAAGTCAGGGAAGATTATTTCATAGTGATCTAAAGAGGGCTTGGGAGCTCAAGATCAAAGGAAAAAAGAGATGATAGTGGGAGAAAACCAGGTTTAGGGACAAGAAAAATCAGGAAGGTGCAGAAGAGGCTCAGAATTAGAACCATAGGGATAGGTAAAGAGCTGCTTATAGTTGGTCGAAGTACAAATAGGAAAGTAGTTAAGAAGTGGGGCTATGGAGATTGTTTTCAGAGAAGAATTGTAGAAATGGAGATATTAAGAGTAGAACAATTCTAATGTCTATAGGCACAGGAACAGCTAGACCTGATGATAACCAAGTGGAGAGAACATTTCAGAATTAATACAATAATAACAAAAAGTTATATTTCATAGTTCACAGAACCTCACTCTTCTCAAAATAATGTGGACATACACATACACAGACGCATGCATGTGTATACATACATATGCACGATATATATGTATATATACAAAATGAAGTATATACATGAGGATATTTATCATCCTAAATTAGCAGGAAGCTAAAAGTTTGGAAAAATAAAGACAGATTTTTAGCTTATTATTCCACTAGCAATTTCACTAATGATTGCTCCTTCAATCCTTTATTCTAATTAATAAAATATGGCAGTGATTTACAGGTATCATTTTCCTATTAAAAGCATTTTACTGAAATATTTTGCATATCCTCTTATAAAATAAAAAAATACAAAGTATCTCAATGCCGATGACTAATAGATTCTAACCAACAATTATTTTTTTTTTTTACATAAACATTCAGCATGTATTTCCTAAAACAAGAGTATCCTTATATGTAATTACAATATAATGTTCACGCTAAGGCTATTTAACATAAATGTATTATCTAGCAATCAGTCCATATTTAAATTTCCCTAAGTGTCCCAACAACATCCCTTATGGCTTCTTGGTTTTTTTGTTTGTTTTTGTTTAAAGATTTATCTATTTATTTATTTGAGGGGGGGAGCAAATGGGGGAGGAGCAGAGGGAGAGGGAGAAGTAGACTCCCTGCTGAGCAGAGCCTGATCTGGAGCTTGATCCCATGACCCTGAGATCAAGACCTGAGCCAAAATCAAGAGTTGGACACTCAACTGAGCCACCCAGGCACCCCTGTTTGTTTGGTTTATGCATGGAGCCCAACACAGGGCTTGAACTCATGACTCTGAGATCAAGACCTGAGCTGAAATCAAGAGTCAGATGCTTAATGACTGAGCCATCTAGGTGCCCCCTTCTTGTTTTTTTTTTTTTAATTCAGAGTCCAGTCAAGGATAACACATTGCATTTAGTTGTCATGCCTTGTTAATCTCCTTCGATGTAAAATAGTTCGCCAGACTTTTTTTTTTCCCCTCTGTCTCATGATACTGACATTTTTTAAGAATCCAAGCCAATTCAGGTCATGATTTCAGGGATCAAGCCCTGCATTGGACTCTGCGCTCAGTGGGGAGGCTTTAGGATTCTCTCTCTAAAATAAATGAATCTTAAAAAAAAAAAAAAAGAATCCAAGACAATTTTTGCAGAATATCCCTCAATTTGGGGTTTGACAGATAGTTTCTTCATAATTAGATTTAGGTGAAAAATTTTAATTTGGGGGACAAAAATATTACATGGGTACTGTATCCTTCTATACATAACATCACATTGTATCCTTCTATACATCACATATATTATGCCAGTTTATCACCTTAATAGTAATATCAAGTTTGATCGTTTGGTAAAACTAATCTGTGGGGTGATACTTCCAGGCTCTGGAAATATCTTGTTCCCCACAGTTTTCCACCAATGGTTCTAGCATTCACTGATGATTCTTGCCTCAAAAAGGGTAGGAAGGGCTGATTCATACTGTCATCATGAAGCTCATCCTCAGCATAGCACCAAATTGGGAGGGAACCCCCAAGTCCCATCTTCTTCCTATGGTTAGAAATGTACATGATGGGAACTCCAGGGATCTTCCGGATTCTTCGTTTAAGGTCCCGGTCAACTGTGGCCACAATGTAACACTTGTGCTGAGGTACTCTCTGTACTAAGCAGTCATCTGCATAGGTTCCTTTGTGTGTACATGGTAATCGTTCAAATCTTGGATCCTTGGCAATCCTTAGAGCCACTCGGTACTTTTGCCCCAGTTTCTCAATTTCAGCCATTACACAGTCAGTTATACAAGGGATACACTTAGCATACAGACAGTCCATCATTGACTGTACTAAGTCAAGTTTCGCTTTAATGGAAGAGTTGATAAAGTTGGTATCAACCAGGATGTGGTAAGGTGGGCCCAGCTGTGTGTTATATTGGAAGAATAAGCAGGAAGGATGTTGGGGGACTTCTCTTTCCTTGAGTGCACTGGGATCTTTCTTTTCTTTCTTTTTAGGTTTTAATCTGTCCTTCTCTTTAAGCCCCTGATCTCGGAGACTAAGCATTCGCTTCATGGTCGCATACTTTCTTGCTTTCTTTTGCTTCCCCATGTTCACGCCGCGCTCTTGTTTCTCCCAACAATTATTTTTATATTAGCTTGTTAATTTTCCGCTCATTCTGTTCACATGTATTGATGGCTTCATTTTTATAGTTTTAAATTTTCAAAGAGACCTCTCAGGTTTCTCTTTTATACACACACATTGGCTTTGTTTGTTCTTCCAAATAATGAGTTCCTGTCTGTCACAACCTACCTCTTTTTCATCTTTACAGCAGTCATTCCCATACATTCTGTGTCTGCTTAAGAAATACATGCTACTTTTTTTTCCCATCAGTAGGCATATATCAGAATATTTAAGATGTCTCTAATTTTACTGCACAAAATATTTTTGAGACTATAAGCATTGGTCACTTCTTTCATTAGCACAGAACATTACACTCAAAGATACATTCACTTCAATGCCTTCTAGTTTTCTCAAAAGATTATTTCAAAGTGTAATTGTTTTATACGAAAGAGTGAACACTCATATGTTATCATGGTATTGACTGTTGCAAATCAATATGAATATACTCTTACTATCCAAGCAGGACTATAGAGAAAAAGCATATTATGGTCCCATGTGGGTAACAATTCCAGGATGAATCTTTACTGTGGAAGATTAATTTCATATGAGGAGCAGCCTCCTTTGAATTAGTATATGAATCAACAAGTTACTATCTCCTACTAATGCAGAATATTTTATGGAAATATCTCTTCCACGAACTTTGAGCATAAATTACCAAAATGAAGGGTAGAAAAATATCTATTTTACTTCACTAGAAAAAGAGGAAAGTGAATCTTTCTTATCATTTAGGGAAATTTTTAACAAAACGTTATAAAGCCCTTTTTGAAAATTTATTGTACTTACCCTATTTATTTTATCAAATTAGTGGCAAAATAAGAAACTGTACTAATAAGAAAATACCTCTCAACTTAAAGATGCAATGAGATGACCATTGTTTAATGGCTTTGTAAGAAGGGAATTCAACATTCACTTTTTAATAAGGTTGTAATTTGAATTCATTGAAATTACTATTGGTAAAGGTCCTCATCTAATTAAACACAAACAAATGTATCTTAATTCATGTCCCCAAAAGAAGTAATCCTTTCATATTACAGCCAAGTTCAGTGCTTCCAAAGGATTTAAATAACTGAGAAAGGTGCTTAATCAAAAACAGCTACTTATTTCAATTAACTTTCTGTTAAACATGAATGATGCTTCATTTCCCATGTTCTGTGCTATATATGATGACAATTACTTTATTCATTCGTTTGTGGTCAGCCAATAAATATTGAATATATCTACTACATGCATAGAACTATTCAAAACTTTGGAAGTTAAAAAAACTTTCCAATAATGAAAGAACATAAAATCTAATAGGAAATACAGTCATACACATATACATAAGTAACTAAAATAAAACATAGTAAATTTTAAATTGATGATTCCATTCCAAAATAAAAAAAATTATAATTTATGCCTTTCTTTTCTCCATCATCTCTATAATACACTTTAATGGAACTTTAATTTTTGAAATTTTATTTGATCTGTTCTTGACAACATCTACTCCTAACGATGGTGATGGTGGTGGTGGTGATGGTGATGATATTAGCTAACAGCTGGCCTAAGTAACCAATATTCATTTTCTCGGTAAATCCTCACAAAGCCCTTATCAGTTAGATGCTATTATTATATTCATCATTCATAGAGAGGAAACCTGAAAGACACAGGGGTTAAGTGATCTGTTCATACGGTTCACGTAGCTAGTATAGGCAGAGCTAGGAAGCAAAATTAGACTTTCTGGTTCTAGAGCTTAGGTTGTCAACCATCACACAAGACTGTATTTTAAATCATCATTACATATACCATAAAATATCACAATATATGCTCTGTAATTGAGAAATCATAACTACACAAAATTATAAAAAAATATTATTCTCTCACATCTTCAGTTGGTTCTATGTAATTCCTAGTCTCCTCTAAATTCTTGAGTCATTGCTTCTGCTCTACCTGCTGTGTACCTTAGAAAAATTAGGATTTAAAGAATTTAGGAACTTTTCCAATCTGTAAAATGGAGCTACCAAAATAATTGTCCTACTAAGTTCATATTTCCATGAGACTTCCAGGTTTCTAGAACCTCCTTTTATCAGGTCAATAGTCTCCCTTAAATTTTGCTCCTCTCCAGGACTAGACAGCTGATACTAGTTTTTCTGGGGCTTGTCAGCCTGGTGGTACAACACAAGGGAAGTGCTCTGATCCAGTCTCAGTCTGAAGCAGATGGTGTGTCCATGTGTCTTCATGGTGGGACTTTGTTTCTGTTTTGAGATTATTTATTTATTTATTTATTTATAGCACATGAGTGGAGGTAGGGGCACAGGGAGAGGGCGAGAGACAATCTCAAGCAGACTCCACACTGAGTGTGGAGCCCGATGTGGGGCATGATCTCACAACCCTGAGATCATGACCTGAGTCGAAATCACGAGAGGATGCTTAACTGACTGAGCTACTCAGTCAGTCAGTTGGGACTCAGTCAGTCATGGTGGGACTTTGAAATAATATTGTCCATCCTCCAGGTGAAGAAAATTTCGAATGGTCTGGGCTCGGACTATTTCCTGTCCCCTTCTCAAGGATAGAAGGATTTTTCATATTCCCCTCCTTCAGTCATAATGGGTCTTCACATTTGTTTTAGGGTCAATATAAAGTTTTCTTCCTTTCCCCAAAAAGATGAAGGCTTTTATTCTGTAGGAAATAAGGAGCCAAGTGAGGTTTCCTAATTTTCCCAAGGTGGTGAACACTCTCTTCCTCCAAACCTGCAAAATTGAGGCAGTTTGTTGGGTCAACAACCCTACTCTCACTTTGTTCATGAGTATTCAATAAGTTCTTTGTAGAAGTGCCAGTGAATGAATGTGAACCATCCTTCGTGTCTGCAGTTCTTAAGGCTTCTAAACTCTCACATTAGCCCACACAGAACCTTTAGCATTCATTAAAAGTTTTTGCTGAATTATTTTTCCCACTTGTATGGAAACTTCATTTTCCTCCTGTGGTTTGCCCTATGTAAGTCAGCACTCACACACCACTTCTACTTGAAAGTGCTGCCTGTCCTTGGAATACAGACTGGTTAGTTTCTCTATGACCTGATCTCTGATGGTTTGAAAAGTTATACTTTTTGTAGATTATCTGTTTTCTATATGCTAAGCAGAAACCAGAAGCCTTACATTTTGATATACATTGTTATTTCTTATTTAACCTTTATTAAAGCATTGAATCTTGTTACTATCATCTCTATTTTGTATATAAGTTGTAGAGAATTTAAATCCTTGCCCAGTATCATTTAACTACTAAATGACAAAAACCAGTTCTCTTGGCTTCAAGATCAGTTTGTTGTATATAGTTGTCTATGCCACAGGTCAGAAATGCTACAAAAATGAAAAAAAAATTCAATAGTATTCTACCATAATCCAGGGTGTCACCTGGCAGGTTTGTAACCTGTTGGAATTTCAAAAAGTGAGTATGTCAGTTTTTCTCCCACATTGTGCTGAGGATAATGAAAAATTATGCTGAGCAAAAAAAGCCAGGCACAAATGAATTGCATTTATTTATTTTTTTAAAAAAAGATTTTATTTATTTATTTGACAGAGAGAGACACAGTGAGAGAGGGAACACAAGCAGGGGGGAGTGGGAGAGGGAGAAGCAGGCTTCCTGCGGAGCAGGGAGCCCGATGTGGGACTCGATCCCAGGACCGTGGGACTCGATCCCAGGTCCCTGGGACCATGGCCTTAGCCCAAGGCAGATGCTTAATGACTGAGCCACCCAGGCGCCCTATAATTGCATTTATATAAAGTTCTAGAATAGGGAAACTAAGCTCTGGTGATATAAATGTTAGTAGCTTCTGAAAGGGAGAGGTGGATGGAGATTGTCCAAAAATTGGCACAAGTAAATTTTATTCTTTTTTTTTTTAAAGATTTTCTTTATTTATTTGACAGAGAGATACACAGTGAGAGAGGGAACACAAGCAGGGGGAGTGGGAGAGGGAGAAGCAGGCTTCCAGTGGAGCAAGGAGCCCGATGCGGGGCTCGATCCCAGGACCTGAGCTGAAGGCAGAAGCCACCCAGGCGCCCCAGTAAATTTTATTCTGTGATAATTTCCTTTATATTGATTTTGGTGGTGGTTAAATGATATATATTTTAAAAACTCATAGTACTGTACATTTAAAATCTGTTTATTTTATTATATCTAAATTATACTTCAATAAATTTCAGCTATAACCAAATAAAAAGGAAGCTGAAATTAAATCCATCAATTTAGAAATTTTGTGAGTTCAATGGGAAGTTTTACTTCTATAGGTGATACTTATAATTTTAAAATATTTTAATGTGCATTATTTTATTTAATAGTTACTATACTGGGAAGTATGTATTATTATTATGTCCATTTTATACATGGGCCTGACTGCAAGTATGGATCTGTTGAAAGAACTGGCTACATCATGAGTTAGAAATGTTAAAAGTAAAATAAATGCAAAATATCTTACTGTAATCCACAGCATCATATACATCATCTTGCAACTCTACATGGGAGGAAAAGAATATAGCCATTTTTTTTTTCCATATTACAAAGGCAACAATGAAGCTCCCACCTCTTCATCATGGAAACTTCCACATCCTAAATAAAAATGGAAATGCTCTTCTTAAATAAATGTCTTCAATTAAAATATAATATCATTTCCCTTTTCAAGGGAAATGCCGAGAACGTTTTTGGCCACACTGACTGTTTTTAGAACACTTCCAGACAATGGGCCCATCTTGTTACTATGTTAATTAAAAATAGTTAGTTGATTCTTACTGTTTTCATTTGCATACCACATGTTACTAGCATGTTTGGAATATTTTGATAGGATTATTTTCACACAAATTATAGTGAGAATAATGATATAAATAATTATCCAAATAAAACATAGCATCAATAATATAGGAACCATTACAAAATAAATATGGCTATCACACAGGTCAGGCAAATCTTCACAAAAATTGAT